AACAATGTGACCCTATTTCTTTATGGAATCCAAATATTTAAAAATTATTGACTTTTTACCTCAGAAACACAGATTATGGGAAAAATTATTAAATTGTTGGACATTAAACAATCGCAAATGTATCAAAGTTACTTGTATAATCATATTCCATTCTCTAGTGAATTAATATAGGGACCGAGTATACATAAACATGTCATTAACAGGTATTGTAAAGAACATTCCTGTGAGCATTGCTAATCATTCATCAGGTATTTTCTAATGACTGAGTGCTTGTATTTACTGGGAAAGCTGAAAAGATTTTTTTTTTTCTAAAAGGTTGTCCTAAAAGGAAGAACTTATGTGCTGTTGCAGCAAACCTCCATCATCAATGAAGTTTGAAACATGTGTATGGCATGGCAGACATGGCATTCTGTTTGACATAGTAACTGGAAAAAATCAAACCTGTTGAATAAGATCACGATTATGTGGGTTTTTGCCTTACTTCCAGATAGAGTATGGATGTAACTCAGGGCAGTGCAAACACTGAGGCTGTTGTCAGTGGGAGCTTGGATCAATTTACTGCAGAGACTCTATAATCATGGTGGAGGCACCAGCCCTGGAGGGACTGAAAAGATGTGCAAATGTGGCTTGGCATTGCTGGGATAATCATTAGACTTTATGTTTCTAAAGGGAAAGACAGAACTGTCCTACTGTTACACAGTGGGTTACTGCTGAATTAATGTATCAAGGAGAAAACCTAGTGAATGGGACACAAAGGTCGTTTTGTTGTGTTCTTTTTTTGTGTGTGTTTGTTCTTTTGGAGGTTTTTCTTTTTGTTTGTTTGTTTGTTTATTTTCTGGTTGGGTTTTGGTTTTGTTTTGTTTTTGTTTGTTTGTTTTGTTGGGGTTTTGTTGTTTGTTTGTTTGGTTTGTTTGTTTGTTTGTTTTCCCAGTGTGACTGTTTAAAGATTACAAGGTGTGTGAATTTAAAAGACAACAGCCCATTTGGAACAACTCCATGTATGGACATTTATATGTAAAAGTAAGTGAGGGGGTTTATTCTGTTTTAGATGGTTTCACTTGCAAAATGTATCTTATTCATAAGAGTTCCCCGGAAGAGAAGGTTTTTCGCAAAAAGTATTTCAGTCAGTTTTACCTCATAGGCAGAAAATATACAATGAGCAGACACTTTCTCTGGTGGGACATATTACATTGCATCTTTTAAAAGATGCTTGCAACCTACTAACAGCTGACATTGTCATGGATATTAAGGTTTTCATCCAGTAGTGAAATTCGTACCAGCAATGATTTCAGTGACTTCTTGTCAGCTTAGGGATAGTTGTCTGTTAAATTTAGAAACACAGTCTTAATTCAGAAGAGCACTTTGCTCATTAGTATTTGGTAATTGTCAGTTCTTCCCAAGATACTTGTTATAGAATCACTTTCTTCAGGGGAAAAAAAAAGTATTTGGATTTATTTTTACTTCTTTGCATGAAGCCTTATATTTTAGAGTGTTTTTATGTCAGCACTGTATTGTTTCACTTGTTGCAATAATTACTAACAGTCTGTTCTCAAATGATGCTGCCAAAGAGGAATAATCTGGTTCCTCTATCATTTTACTGATGGATATTGCACGGCCTTTAGCCCCACCTGCACAAGACCTTGCATGCTTTCCTTATATTGCCTTCCTGGCAAAGTCAGTCAGTTTAGTCTGCATTTCAAGTGGTGGAGTCCAAAGGTAAAGGAAATAGCAGGCTCACCTTTACTCATTACACCTAGAATGCTTTTAGAGATTCTGCTTCCCTTCATAACATTGTTTACAATATGGAAAATTGCTACAGAAAAGTGGCTTTCCTCCAACAAGAACCTCCTCAAGATCCATCTAGTCACTTAGAAATCTCCCTGTTGCCATCAAGTTATTCTCTCATTTCATGTCTAATTGGGCAATGGATCTAATTCTTCTGTCTTTCAACCGTTGCCTTGGGAGTGTGAGTAGTGTTTGTCACTAGAAATGATTGCACATATTTTTAGGGAGCTCCATAAAACAATATTATATAATTGATGTTTTACTGTACATAAGACTCACTAATACTTTGTGAAGACCTTCCAGCTGAGAGGGAAATTGAATATTTCTACCAGCAGAAGCTAATTGGAAGAAGCCAGCCTCATGTCGACCATGCACTGCTGTGATGATGTAAAGGTGAGAACATCCATTTGCCATTGTGCATTTTTCCTGAGCAAATAGCATAGATACACATCAAATTCCCTCTCCTAGAATAAAGCATGCCTATGGGAGTCTGTCAGGACAGCAGTAACTAGAAAAGAAGGCTGTAAATGTTAAGCTGTTCCCAAAATATCTTTCTCCTCTCTTTTTGAGTTCCATTATTATTAATGCAATTTCAGTTTTGCCTTGCTTCTAATTTCATTAATTACCTTTCAAAAGATGAAAGATGTTAAGATTTGGAGCATTCTGAAGGGGACAGTAAACAAACCTAATTAGAGATATTCCATGCCATGAAGTCTCCCATTGAAGCCTATTTTGTAAAAGTAGTTAAGTATATTTAATTGTTAAATAATAATTAGGTGTGAGCATTAATGATAATGTATAGTTAACCTAGTTTGTGCTATCTGATCCAATTAATTTCTATAAATGCAATAACTTCCTTTTGAGCTAATTCAGTTGAGACACTGAGGCCAGCTCTTGTCCTCTCAGAAAGGTCTGTTGTACACAACAGACTCTACTTTTATTTTTTATCAACTTTACAGGAGGAATTAACATGATCAGATTGCAGTAACTTGGGGCACACACTGTAGCCAACAAATCTGACTTCTGTTGCTTTCATTTATTTAGGTTAAACAATACATGTGAGACATTCCTGGATCAATAAGTAGTTTCAAAGAGCCAAGACATTGCATCATTCTTAAAAATTAATTTAATCTTAAATCAATATTAGAATCAGCAGAACTTTTTAAAGACTATAGAACTATTGTTTTCTGAAGAAAAGCCATAGAAAGCAGCAGTCTTACAGTTACAAAAGTGTTCCTAATTTTACACACAAGCATCTATGGAATACATGTACACAGTGGAAAAACAGTCAGCTTTTTCAATTTTCAATTAAGTGTTTACATCTAAAGCAAACAGTCCTGATAAATTAATGGCATGTTACTTAGCAATCTTGTTACTTAGCAAGTTATACAATTCTTATTATTACTGTAATTTTATTGAATAAATATGAATGTTGTAGAAGTGTGTATTCAGCATTAAGTAATATTGCCAAGGTGATGTCCCTTTTATACCCTAAAGGTTATTTGGAATGGATACATTGCCAGCAAGACCAAAGAGGAATAATCTGGTGTTTCTCAGTATGGTATTTCTCAATTCTGATATTTCTCAGTAAGGACTGTGGGTCAAGTAGAATTTAACATACACATTTGTTTGCACTCAGATACCATAAAAGATGCACATATAGGTTTGGGTAGGAAAAGCATCCAAATAAAATACTGTGCAAAGGTTTAGCTTTTATGCTGTTAAGTTCTTGTGCATGTTAGTCATTGGCCAGTCAGAAGTGGGATTCCCCAAGGCTCAGTATTGAAGACAGTACTGCTTAATATCTTTATCAGTTTGTTTTTATCTTTATTTGGACCAAGGACTAGAGGGCATCCTCAGTCAGTTTACAGATGACGCCAAATTGAGCAGGAGTGTTGACCTGTTGGAGAGTTGGAAGGCTTTACAATGGATCTGGACAAGCTGGATCAGTGGGCTGAGGCCAGTGGAATGAGGATCAACACTTGCACTTGGGTCACAACAACTCAAACCAATGCCACAGGTGTGGGGCAGAGTGACTGGAAAACGGCACTGCAGAAAAGCTGCTGGCCAACAACCAGCTGAACATGAACCAGAGTCTGCCCAAGTACTGAGAAGGCCAATGGCATCTTGGCCTTTATCCAAAATTGTGTGGCCAACAGGACCAGGGAAGTGACTGTATGGATATTCCCACTTAAGTTTAAGTGATGGGTTTTTATTCTCAATTAGCTTATTCACTTGCAAAATTTATCCTCTTCAGAGTAGGTATTTCCCAAAAGGGGAGCATTTTCATAAGAAGTATTTCAATCAGTTTCATCACATAGGCAGTTTATGTGACTATACGAAAAGTTAATTATGTATAATAGATTTTGATAAAATAGCAGAGAATATTCTGAACTCCAATTTCCATGTACACTAATACATTATTTATATGGCTTGGAATGTGTCTGCCTCATTTGTCAAAATACCAAACCTGCTTTCATGGAAGAACCTGTAGACATGTTTTAAACCTGAAGTCCACCATTAATCTTTAAAGGTGAAATACAAGGCAAAAAAAAATGGTTTTCATATTTCATCACTTCCTTTAAGATCTGAAATTACTACACTGGCAGCAGAGGAAAATGTCTGCTTCATTTTTTAAATAATGTTTTTAGCATTTTCTAAGATACAGTTCCTCACAGACCTTTTGTGTTGCTGTGTTGTAACAGGATCTTTGGAGATTTGTAAGATGCAATTGTCCACATTTTAATTTTAAATGGTGTGATGTTTTATATGGAAAGAAAAAAGAGCAATTAAGAGGAGAAAAAATAGCATTTCAGATAAGACCTTAAATCAGCATTAGTAATATGGTTACCCATGATGTTGCTGAAACCTTTAGGGGAAAAAAGCATGCCTTCATCCTACTGAAGTAGTCTAAGTTATGTCCATAATAGCATATGTGTGAAGATATGCTGGGAACACAAATAACTCTGCTCAGATTGTGCCCTTAGCAAGATCCTGACAGAGTCCTTCATCAGGTAGAAAAAGTAGTTCCATTGGACTTCTAAAGAAAGAAACTTACAGAAAAATTATGTATTATTTCTGTACAGCTAAAGAGATACAAAGCAGACCTTCTGTATTAAAAATGTTGATAGTTTTAACCAGTGTGTAAGAAAAATATTTGGTATTCAGAAAAATATATAATATTCAGAAAATTTTGAATATCAAACCAGGATTACTTTGAATATGAAATTTTACCTTATTTATTTTTTTAATTATTTATTATTTTCTCAATTCACTTTTAAGATAATCCTGTGAGCACTGCATGCAAATAATTATTTTAAATAAAAATATGCTTCTCAAAACTTCTAAAATTTCTCTATTATGAGAAATCCAGTGTTTTTTAAGCCATAAAATACACTGGATGTTGAGTAAGTATTTGTGAATGCAGTAATGCTGATGCATTTTTGATTTGGAACAATGGCCAAGCATACTCATCCTGGAGCAACTCAAAAAGGACTGTAGCTATATAGTCTATACCTTTCCCTTTCATGTATTTTGTGATGTAACAAACAAGCATCAAAGGAAGGAAAAGGTCCTTGAGTTACACAAACTGAGGGCAGGCTGACTCCAAAGTGGTGAATGGAAACCAGAAACATTTTTTTAGCTTGTGTCCTAAATTGCATTATTTTCAGAGTGAATCTTGTATTTTTGAAACAATTCTTAGTTTGTCATTCAGGTTTTTGCCTCTGCAGTACTGAGATACAACCTCCTTGTTTGTGACACTGACATTTTCCTGTACTGTTCCTCACCTTATGCATATGTGAACAATTGCTTTCTGGATAGGGTGACCAGACAATAACAAGGGAACACTCTCTAATTTAAAACTTTTTACTCAAGATATTTCTGAGCTTTCTAATGCTATGAGTTATGACATTAACTTAATCTTTTTGAATACAGAAGAAAGGTGCTACCCGAAATCTGTCAAGGTAATTGTTCTTCTTTGTCCTCTGAGACAGGAGTCCTTTGTGTCAAATAAACATTTCTTAAGTGTTCTACCATAATGTGCTCCTCATCTTCAAGATCTGCATCTTCTTTCATCTCCCACCTGAAAGAAAAAGCATTTTATTAATTCTTAATGTGTTTTAAACTAGTCTTTAGAACAAGTTAAAAAATACAGAACTTGTTTTTATCAATTCATTGCCCTCCCCAGCCATGGTTACTCCAGTTGAGATTACTGAATCATGCAAAATACAACCCCCAAAAACCGTGCCACACAGAACTTGGCATGGGCATGAGGCAATTGACACAAATTGTCAAAGCTACTACAAAATCTTATATTTACTGCAACAGTATTTTTTTTCCATTTTATGTGTCACACATACATTAGTAGAGGTGGAAACCTTGTAAAACTTGCAGAGAAAAAGTGGAAGAGCTAACAAACATTTTGGAAGTTAAGCAGATGCTCTCAATACTCTCTAAGTTTGCAGTGAAATATGACCACATGAAGTCCAACCCAAATATTTAATGTGAGTTGTCATAATTCTCTGGCATTGACAGTACTATTTCACAAAATACTACAAAACTGACTGGCTCTTTTGCTTCTTTAACCATCAAGCATAACAATCTAACAAAAAAATAGATTACATCAGATTCTTCCTTCCCCATGTGAACACTCATTTCTAGTTTAGGATTAAGAGCTAATGTCACTAAAACTGCAAAAGTGAAGGACTGTGAAGATGCTTATCTTTTTAGTAGTAGTAGTCAAATATAAAACCTTACAAGTCATGCAGTATTTTGTTAAAGATACTCAGGATAAAAAAAGCAGCAAGAGTGCTGATACGTAGTCAGGTAAACTTTGTATCATTGCAATTACGCCTACACAATGGTCACTTCTTTTACAAGTTCTGTGGATATTTTAAGTTTCATATCCCTTTAATATTAATCTCATTCTCTTCTAAGTAGATAATAGTGTGTAGGCTCCCAGTTCAGACCACTTGAAGACAAAAGGTAAAACACCAATACTAAAACTAGAAATCACATTATCAAGTATTAAAACTAAGAGGTTATAAATGAGCCATAGAATGGTGCAGAAAAGTAGATATAAAAAATGAGCCAAACAAGGACTTTGCTTTTAGGAAACTGTCAGGAGCAATACTTTAGTCCTGTCCCCACACTTGTTAGGTCCTCATTCATACTGCAAAAATCAGAAGCCATATACAAGTTTAGACTGGTGAATAAATCAAATATAATACAGAATGGTGGAACGACTATATTTCATTACCTTATATTTGGAAGAAGAGAACAGCTAATTTTGGCAATAGAGCATGCTGTATACTTTGTATCTATTTTAAAGCTTACTAAAACCAGAAGGAGCAAGTGCTCTGTTAGCACAATCTCATTGTTAAAAAAACAATTAGGAAAAAATATGTTCAAAGACCATACATAAATTAGCATATATATTTCACACCTTTACCTTGAAAACTGAACCTGACAACCCATATTACTGCCTGAAGAAGTATCTGAACAAGCAAAGCATACAACGAATAAAATGATAAGCACTGAATGCCTATGGTCAAGGTTTTGCCATAATTAGCTTCCTATTACTCCACTCATATGTGACTGCTATCATACTTAACCTTATTTGCATATTAGCATTAGGTACAATTAATTGCTCTGTCTGCTTCATTCTCTGGTTTATGATATAAAATCTGACTGTATGAGCCTTCAGTGCAATCACTTTTGCAAGCCTCCCCAGTGAATGGTGTTTAACAGGGTGACTGGTTTCCCCTTTTCCTTTTGGTAATGTATATCTTCTCTTCAAATCTAGGAAGAAGTTGTGCATGCCTTAATTTGAATTTATGGTCCTCAGCATTATTCAGAAACACTACTACATGAGCTGAACTAATTAATTTTAATTAATTTGATTTGTTGCATACTTTTACCTAGAGGAGCTGTTTGCTTAAAGGACTGTCATAGTTACAGAGATAGGAGGTAGAGTGTAGCATTATGTAGCATATTTGGGTGACCCAAAATCATGTATTCCATATCTTCTCTACATCAATCTGTGCAAGGTAGTTTACTATCTCTTTAAGACCCAGAGTTGGAAGCAGAACCTTTGTGTTTTACCCCAGTTCACGGAAAGGGGAGGGGTGATGGGAACAGACACGTGGAGCTCTCTGTTTCTTCCTTTCCAGACTCTTGAGAACGTCAGAAAATGGGGCACTCTGACAGGCTGCTAGCTGCGGCTTCCCAGGAAATGATGAAAAAAAATGACAGACAGCGACCCTTGCCACGGTTGCTATAGCAACCACTGCTTTTGGAGCCCGGGGAGATGTTTCTTTCTCTGGACTTTCCGCTGCTGCTGCTCAGGACAGCTGCCTGTCGTCAAGAGTTGGAGCCTCTCCACAAGTTTCCAGCTGCTGAGGGGGTTGGTCCTACATCTCCTGAAAAATTTCTTCCAGTGTTTCAACAGCACTGACTCCTTTAGGAGAAAAATATGTTTTCTAGGTTCTATTTTTCACTGCTTCCATTGTTGCCTGGGACAGAAAGCAGTTTTGGAACCATGGATGCTCATTTGGTGTGTTGTTGCCTTCGTGCCCTGTCTTGGCCACATGGTGCAGAGAGTAGAATTGACACCATTTGGTCTGTGTTCCCTGGAACAATTCGAGGGATCTCCTCTGCATTTGTGGGTGAGGGCTTATGTGTTTGCATCTATATTTCCTGCTGTTTTCTTTTAGTAAACTGTTTTTTCTTTTTCACATACCTCTTTGCATTTGTCTCTCCTCATTGATAGAGGGTATAGGTTGAAAACTAAGGGGAGGGAAGTTATTGCAGAATCTCTGCCCGGTAAAATTTCCTTAAACTAAGACATATTTGGCACCAAGCTAAAAGGAGATCAAGAGAGAAAGTGAAAAAATAACAAATTTGACCAAATAATTTCTATGTTGGGTACAGAACTCCCTGGTTACCACATTGCTTGGTCTGATCACGGCATTGTGGCACCTAACCTTGTATTGGCATCCAAATATGTGGAAGGAACTGCCCATGATAGTGCTGTTCTTCAGATCAGGGAGAAGAACTAAGATACAGTTGATACAGTTTGTGTTACCAGTTTATGGAATGATAACATCAAAGGCAATGAAGATCATTTGGTAAATGTATTCATTGTTGTTTGCCTGTCCTGATCTGGGTTGCTGTGCCTGGAGGTTTATTAATAATCACACACAGCCTGTGGGGGGAAGAGGAGAAGATGATTTTTCCTTTTGCCATTCACCTCCTTCAGGTCCAACACATCACTTCTTGAAAAAGCTGAATTCCCTCTGGATGCTACGGACACAGTAGGAGTTCAACTGGTGGGATGGATAGGAAGCTAGCCTTCATCAATAATGGAGGCATCAACTTAAGGCTTTGGGCATGTGGGATATTAAGAAATGAAACATCTAGCTCGGCTACCCTGTTCCAGCCCCAAGCCTTAGGGAGCTGAGACAGGGAAAAAAAGAACACCAAGAGGCTCCAGTCCAGCTGTTTGTCTGCTGTGGTGAGGGGGTCAATGCCAGAGAGCCACCAGGTTTTTGCCTCCTTCTGGAGCTCCTCCATGGTATATCTACTACCCTTAGCATGAAAGCTTGCACTGTTTCATACTTGTCAGGGAGTTTAGTTTGGAAGTCTCCCTCTAAACAAATATAAAACTCTGATAAAGTGGCAGAATATTTGAAATAAAATTGCTGTGTCCGTTCAGAAAGGGGCAACTTACTGCTCTGTGCTGGGCCCTAGTTAATGCTTTCCTGCATGCTTCTTGTTACTTTACAGCAACAGCTACAACCAGAAGGGAAGGAGAGCAAATTGGCAGACAGCACAGTCACTCAGGCTGCAGTTAAACAAGATGAGCAGCCTAAGCCAGTAGCAGTTGCCCCTGTCCAAAGGAGGGACTAAAAAAGTCCAAATCCAGTTGCCCAGTAAGATGACCATGGGGAGAATGTTGAAGGGGAAAATCCCTTCAACACGTCATGCCAACAATGCTACCAGGAGTAAGCAGATTGCTCTGATCACACAGCAAGTTCAGATGAGAAATCCTAATCATTCAGGGATCTTGGAAATTATCACAAACTGGCCTGAAGGTGAGTGTTTTGGACTATCATCTGAAGAGGAAGAGGATTAGGTGGCACATGCTGAGGAGGCCCCACCATATAACCCAGCCACGAGAAAGTAAGAGGCAACACACTCTCTTCACTGACAGTTCCTCTCTTATCTTAGGGACAAGTCAAAAATGGAAAGCTGCCACATTGGAGCCTATGCAGCAAGTCACAGAAAGTACTAAAGGACAAGATGGATCAAGCCAGAATGCAGAGCTGAAAACCCATTTGGCTTTGGATATTGCTGATTGAGAGAAGTGGCCAACACTATACCTCTATACTGACTTGTGGATGGTAGCAAACACTCTGTGGGGATGGCTGGAATGATGGTAAAAGGCCAATTGGCATTGGAGAAGGAAATTTGTTGAGGCTACAAAAATCTGACTAGACATTGCTGCTCAGGTAGAGAAGCTGACCACAGAAGTTTGTCATGTGGATGCCTACATGTCTATGAGTTGGGCTAATGAGGAGCATTGCAACAACAAATAAGTGGATTGGGCTTCCAAAATTAAAGGTAGACCTGGACTGGCAACTTGGTGGGCCCAGGTCATGAGGTGTCTCAAGTCATAAGGGAAGAGATGCAACATAATGATGGATTTGTGACTGAAGGATGGATTTAACTGTGGACACTACATCCCAGGTAACCCATGATTATGAAACATGCGCTGCATCAAAGCAGGCCAAGCAGGTAAAACCCATTAGTACAGGATACAAAGGGCTAAATATAAATATGGAGAAGCCTGTCAGATGGATTGTATCATACTGCAGCAAACCTGCCAAGGCAGGCCCTATATACTCACAGTGGTAGAAGCAACCACTGTGTGGCTGGAGAAATACCCTGTGCCTCAAGCCTCTCCTGTGGCAACACGGCACCCCAGAAAGAATTGAATAAGACAATGGGACTCATGTTAAAAAGAATGTCATGGACACCTGGGCAAGAGAACCTTGTAATCAGTGGGTGTATCACATTCCC